AGTCTAGTTGTGGAAGACGTTGCTTCACTGGCCCAAGTTGGTACCATCATTGCGCTCTTCCCAGGCGAGGCAGATCAGTCACCGGCTTCTGGACAGCCGCTCACAGTGGCTGCTGGCTGCTCACGCTGGCTGCTGGCTACACATGGTAGCCCATGGCAACCCACTGCAGCAGTGGCTGCAGCCTACGCCATTGCAGGCAAGTCACAGCAGCCCGGCTCCAGGTCGAGCTGTTGTTCAGCATCTTAGCTGTAGAGGGCAGTGTCACTGGCCCTCATATGTGGGATCCTAACCTGGGCCCTCTGGCGTCCCAAGCCAGCTCTTAACCACCGCGCCACTCGGCCAGCCCTCAACCATTCCACTATTGGTGGATATTTGCCTAGGTTGTTGGTAATTTTTAACAAAAAATAGTCTCTTCATTTTTTTCCTCCAAGACCATCACCTCAGTCCCAGCATCAATTCCGTCCCTCTCTAGTACATCTCTATCCTGCCCTTGCCAACAGCTCAATTCTCTTGTCCCAAGATAATCTACCACAGTTACCCTCCTAACCCCCATTTTAGAGCATGCCCTTAACCTGTCTTCTCTGCTTTTACCTCAAAGCTGCTGAGATTAATGGAGAAAACCGCACAACCAAAACACTGGGGCAACTAAAAACAAAGAGCCTGCAAACCTAACTGGACTTTCCTTGTGTGCGTCCCTGCTCAGTTTTCTCTCCCATGCCCCAGAGCAATTGGTCTAAATACACACTCCTCAAGACTTCTCACATTCCTGTCTTAGGCAACAACCTTGCTTTAAAGGGAAAATCAAAGCGATTGAGCATGAAATTATTCATCTCCCCCTACAAACCTACAAGTAACTCACATATATCTGTTCAGATCCTTTCCTTTTTCCTTTCTGACAAGTGATAAATCTCCCTTCTCTGGACCAAAGCAAGTCTCTTCTAGATCCTTCATTCGGTAGACAATCTGAACCCCGATATATAAAATAACTAAAAGTAATGCAGACTTGGGCAGTTTGCACCTTCTTTGTTGACTTCTGTCCCAATGGTTTCTTCCCTTCTTGTTAAGTTCTCCCTTAAAAGTCCCTCCCTTACTGTGTTTCTCTTTAAGTGACTCCCTGTCTTGTTTTCTTAAAACTAAAATTCCTGAAAAAGTCCCAGGCTTCCCATCCCCATTTCCTCACCTCCCACTCATTCCTCAGCCCACCTTGATCTGGCTCTTGCTCTGCTGAACCTGCTTTTCCAAAGGTCACTAGTTACCAAGTACAATGGGCACTTCTCTGTCCTTGTCTTGCTTCACCTCTCCATGACATTTGACACTGCTCCCCACTCCTTCCTTCTTGAAAGTCGACTCCCTTGGCTCCTGTGACCCTGCTCTCCTGACTCATTCTCTGGCCACCCTTTCTCAGTCTTCTCCCATCAACCTCTTAAAAGATAGCCTATCCCAGGGTTCAGCCCTTGGATTTTTCCTTGCTCTCTCTGGGAAATGTCATTCACGCCCACAGATTCCACAACAATAATTAAATCTGTATCCCCAGCATAGACCATTCTGCTGAGCTCTGGGCCAAGTGTCCAATTGCCCTCAGGTGCCCCTAACACATTCCAAACTGAACTCATCTCTTCGCCAAAACTGCTCCTCTCCTTTTCATTTCACCACTCTTTCTCTCTTCACCTTAGCCAGAAGACTGGGGTTCATTCTCAGTGTCTCCCTTTCCCTCAAACCCCACTAAAAATCACTAAGAATTTTCCAAACCGACACCAAACTTTAGATGCCATCCCCTTCTTTCCATTCCAACAGCCACTGTTTTAGTTCATTAATCTCGTGCCTAGACTTTTGCAGTACTCCAATCACCCTCCAGAATGATGCAGAGTGGTCTTTCTAAAAGCACATTTAATGCATTAAAACCACCTAAGGGCTCTCCTATGTGGTAAAAAAAAAACACCTCTGGGGTTAGCCTCAGGAGGGAGGTTACTCTTTGAAACTGCAAAACCAGCAGGCGGCGACTTGACAGCAAAGAACACCTCGACCGAGGAGTGAGTCAGGCCAGCCTGGCCACATCCCCACGGCCTCTGCGACCTGCCAGGGCCTCCGGACTGCGCCCAACCCTGAGGGCACACGGCTTCCGCGCGCCCACCCCTGCCCTAGGTGAGCCCACCCACCGCACAAGCGTTGGGGCGAGCGGGCGCTAAGGGGCGGGGCGCCAAGGGGCGGGGCCCAGCCCGGGGCCCGCCCCGCCCCGCCCCGCTCGCGCGCCTGCGGGCCAGCCTCCGGTCACGTGATGGCGGCGCAGGTGAGCACCGCTTCCGGGGTCGGGAGCCCGGATAGCTGCCGGCTCTGGCTTTCGCTCAGCAGGGTACGCGGGAGACCATGGCGTCCTCCTCTGCCCCGCCGGCCACCGTACCGGCGACAACAGCGGCCCCTGGTCCGGGTTTCGGCTTCGCCTCCAAAACCAAGAAAAAGCATTTCGTGCAGCAGAAGGTGAAGGTGTTCCGGGCGGCTGACCCGCTGGTGGGCGTGTTCCTGTGGGGCGTAGCCCACTCGGTGAGACCCAGCCCAGGTTCCCCCGTAACTCTGTCCGAATCTCTCAGCTCCTGCGCCTCCAGGTGTCCCCGTTTCCAGGCTCCTATCTCCGGTGCCCCTCGCGCTGCCACTTTTCCCCTGGACTGCCCTGTTCTTCCAAGTGTCTTCTTGCTCTAGACTTTTTTTCTTAACTGTAGACTTTTCTCTCCCTCTGTCCTTTACTCCTCCACTCTAGTTCCGCCTTCCCTACCTGAAATCCAGCTCCCTGCCTCCTTCCTGCCGGGTCCAACCTCAGCCCCGGGCTACGGAGACCGGCCAGGGCCCGGCTTCTGCTGGAAGGACATTAGGGGGAGTGGCTTTTCAGAGTTGGTGGTGGTGAGGCCTCCGACAAGAGTGTATGTGGAAGGGGAGCAGGGATGGTAGCTGGATAAAGCGGGTCGTTCACTTTCCTCTCCACCTTGCTTTCCAGCCGCTGCCCTTGCCTTTGGAATCTTGGCTTTGGGAGAAGCTCCAGGTTTCCCTGGACCTTCTAATCCTTCTTTTCCCTTCCAGAGGTACAGCATTTCAGAGAAGCTACCTCACCCCGATCCTAGTGGTTACACTCACTCAGCCTTTGGTCTTAACTGCATCCCTATTGTTGGCTGGGGTGATGGTGTTTGGTATAAGTGGGGGTTATCTTTGACTAAAGAGATGGCTGAGGAGCTCTGGTCCTCGGGACACTGTGGTGGTGAACTTTAGAAGCAGGAAGCTCCTGTAGAGGGTGTGGCCTGGAAACCCAGGGGAGGCCAAAGAGGCCAGTGCATCTCCTTTCCTGAGGATACCTCAGGTGAAGGAAGCACAGCCATTGTCTACTTCTCTAAGGTCTGGAGTGGGAGGGATGAAGTGACCTTGAATGTGACAGGCAGTGTTTTATAAATCACATTCCTTGCATTGTTACAGTTATGGAAAGGTGGAGGTGGAAAGGGGTGAGGAAGAATACAGTTTCTGTTACATGCTTAATTTGTGGTTTAAAATATTTGGGGTCTATTAGCTCGCTTTTGCATTTGTGGCTCCCAGCTCCCTGGGTGGTAACGTCTTATCAGTGAGTACCCAGTCTAAGGCACTTGGAATGGGTAAGGCTGATGGAGGTAGGGCTGCCTCTTATTATGTACCTTCCAGGTGACTCATCCGTCCCTTTGGGTAACTTAACAAGGAGGGTTTTCCTTTAGTAAGAATTGACAGAATTACACATAAGACCTGCCTCAGCTTCCCTAGGTATATATACTTTAGCTTCAACACCCAACTCTCCAGCCAACACACATTTAGTTCAAGTTTCTGGAATGGAGAAATTCCTTGAACATATGTCTTAGTGATGATTCAGCCTGCTTAACAGCAGGTGGTAAAAAGAAGGGGCATGAAGAACTATAGATGAATTTTAGGCTGGGAATCTCAAGTGGCTTTTTTTTTTCCCCCTGGAGGAGTATGTTCTGTCCTCCTTTTCTACTGAGAATGAGAGGAGCTGGGTTTCACTGCAGTATACAGGATTTAGGTTAGACTGTACTTCATAACCTCTGTTGAATGATCAAGTAAGGATAGGCAAGGCATCCATTTACTCAGTTCATAAACACTTCGGGACCACTATGTGCCAAATATTTTGCTAGCTAGACACCTAAGAGATGCAGGCCACTAGAACTGGTCTTGCCCTGTAAGAGCTCACAATCCAGAAGGAGAACTTACATAAACTAGCGATTAGTCATATGATAAGTACACTATTAAAGGTGGGTGAAAGATACTGTGGCAGCACTGGAGAGAAAGCACATCTCCTCGGGATTTCTTAGTATAGGAACTCCCTTTCCACCCTGAATTAGCAGACTGCTGATTCTGGGGGCTGAGGAGAACATGTGATGCTCGTATCCTTTGGGCTGTGGGTTGGCTTGACTTTAGTGAACAGACACTTAATAAGCTCATATCCTCCGCTTGCCTGCATTCCCTCTGAAATCAGCTGCTCTTCTCTTACTTTATACCTAGGCAGGTGGGGACCTACTTCAGAGAACTGGGTCAGAGTGGTCTGGAAGGACTGGTCCTGTTTGTAAGGAGATGCCTCCCGCAGGATATGGACACTTCATTCTTGCTGCTTTTGACCCCCCAGAGCCCCATTAACTCTCTTGTGGACTTTAAAAATGCCTTTTGTTTTTAATGGAGCATGGAAGTGTTTGTCTTGAGTGTCTTGAGTCTGCTGGGGGTATTTTTTTTTTCCTGTAGAATTTCTCACAGCTTTAAAAATAGTCCTGAGTTGCTTACAGGGTTTGCCTGATATAAAATGACTATTGTGAGCATGAAGTTCCATGGGGGCGGGAGCGTGAGGGGCTGTGTGTGAGGGTTGCTTACTGCAGTTCTTGTTGGGCAGCAGAAGAGGTCAGACACATTCTCTCACCTCTGTCAAGTGTTTTTAAAGGAATGAAGTTTGAGTTGCCCTTTTCTGACTCTTACCGAGACACAGTATATGAGTAGCGTTCCACACCACTACTCACTGCCTCCCTCTTCTTATTTTGGCTTATCAGATCAATGAGCTCAGCCAGGTGCCTCCCCCAGTGATGCTGCTGCCAGATGACTTTAAGGCCAGCTCCAAGATCAAGGTCAACAATCACCTTTTCCACAGGTATGTGGGGATTCCTGCCCTTCTCATGTCAACCTTCCTAGAAAAGAGGAAATAGTTTTAAGAGTTAAGATTCAATGAGTTGAAGATTTTAGATTTAGAAGGCAACTTACATGTTGTGTTGTCTAACCTCCTTCCCAGTGCGGAAATTCAGTATTGTGCAAAGAAGCCATTAAAATAATTTTCAGTGTTCCTACACCCTTATATGTATGTACTAGTTTATCTCTCCTCTTGCCTAGCAATTCCATAGAGTAAATACCATTAATTTCTGATAGGGTCTCTCTGAAAAAAATGCCTGAGTCCTCTAAGCCCTCCTAGTATCAGAAGATGCCATTCAAAACAGTGGCACCTATTGCGAATTTTAGGATGTTTCTAACTTGCTTGGGATTTGGGAAATGCTGCTGTGAGGATGGACAGTAGGATCTTGGTTCTACTTAAAGACACTTAACTAGTCATGTGTCTTAAGCAGGTCACTCAGGTACCCTGAGCCACAGCCTCCCCTTCTATAAAATGGGAATAATATACCTTTAAAGGACCTCACAAAGGTTTTATGAGAATCAAATAAGGTAATATGTGTGATGGTGCTTTATAAACTGTCAACACCTATATAAATATAAGGTAATATTGTTACTTTGTTTTCTTACCTTGAAAACCCTATTTCAGGGAAAATCTGCCCAGTCATTTCAAGTTCAAGGAGTATTGTCCCCAGGTCTTCAGGAACCTCCGTGATCGATTTAGCATTGATGACCAGGATTACTTGGTGAGAGTCTATTATGGGCTAAGGGTAGTCCTTCTCCCTAACAACTGGGGAATCCCTGTAACAGTCATGTTTTGGAGAAATGAGAGTCTTGGAAAGGATGATTTATTTGTGTTTTTGTTGTCACAGGCATCTTCAACAATCTGGTGAAAGCTATAAACCCTGTCCTTGGGGAAAATAATGTATATATGTTAAAAATTTTGCTCCACTTTGAGTCCATATATGGATACCAGATTAAGAACCCCTGCTCAATCTCTTACGCCAGGGTTTTATCCACGTTCAGACATGTTCAGTTTACCATTATCCTGTGACTTGTATCTCCATATAAAGGGGGGAGGAAAAGAGCCTCTGGCCTATTCTGTGTCCTCAGGTGTCCCTTACCCGAAGTCCCCCAAGTGAAAGTGAAGGCAGTGATGGTCGCTTCCTTATCTCCTATGATCGGACTCTGGTCATCAAAGAAGTATCCAGTGAGGACATTGCTGACATGCATAGCAACCTCTCCAACTACCACCAGGTCAGGCCTCTCTCTAGCCTTTTTCTTTCCCTCCTCTCCCTACTCATAGCTCAGCTGCCAGAACACACAGGGAGACTTCCTATCCCTTTTTCTCCCTACAACCATTTTGATCACCAAGAAGCACTTGACATCATGTTTTTGAAAAA